GGCAGATGTATCCCATCAAATATCCCCATACACTTTTTGGTTTCACATTTATTTGAAATTTGACAACCCAGTAATTTTAATAAATCCTATGCACTCCTAGTCTGGTCCCAGAACCCCAAATCTAGGATTCAAATCTCGAATTCCTCTGTATAAAGATATTTTGAAGATTTCCCCAAACATTAACCATATCCATCCCATTTTGGTATATTTCGGGGAAATCTGTTGGGAATATAAGGGGAAATGTCATTCTCAAATGGGATATTTTGATCCCACGACATGTCCCCATCCCATTCTAAACCTCCGCGGTTTCCGGTGCCAGGTTGCAGTAATGCCAGTAGAGCAAAGCAGGACTTTGCGCCCTTCCTGAGACCAGGAAAGGGGCCGGCAAATGTTCAAAAGTGATTAGTGGAAACCCTCTGGTAAGTTAACCATCACGGGTGGAGGGTAATCTTATTATCCACTTACCATCATGAAAATGGGAACATATAGATTTATCACACTATCACTATAACTATATTTGGGAAAATGACGATACACGACTACTGAAAGAGACCCTCAAAACGGAGACGATCTCCTTCTGAATGTATGGATGTATGTATGTGTATGTAGTTTTTGACCGAACGAAGTTTTGCCTTTCTTGAACGACTAAACTTTGTTTTTTTGGGCTGTGCTGTGGTATTTCTTGTGCTCTAGATTGCGTTTTTTTTGGAGCTGGTTGTGCTATTTCTTGTGGTATTTCTTATGCTCTAGATTGTGTTTTTCTTGTGGAGCTGGTTGTGCTATTTCTTGTGCTCTAGATTGTGCTTTTTGTTCGAACCCGCGGTGTTTTTTTTGTGCTTCGTAGTTGTGTTTTGTGGTGTGCAAAACCACGAAGAAAAGCACGAGAAAAAGCACAACTTCCCTGTGGTTGGGAGGGGGCCTGGGGATGCCTTCTAGTTATGTAGCCTGATAGTCCTTAAGATATGTCCCTTCAAAAAATTGCCGGGGTCTGAAATTCACAACGGCCCAGAGGACCAAGAAATCGACAAGTCATACGGACCAAACGTTGAGAAGGAGCCCAAAAAATTGAAAATTCACAACGTTTTGTCGACATCAAACCACTTCAAGGCCCACCACCATCCCATCCCCAAGCCATCTGCCAAGTTTCAAAGAGAGATTCACTAAGGCTTCAAGCGTCTCCTGCCATGAAACAGCCAGTTTTTGCCAAGAAAAATTGGGGATTTCACCAGCACAACTGGTGAAACATTGAGGAGTTCACATAAGAAAACCTTGGAGTTTGACCACTCGTTGATTGTTTCTGTGCACTCATACACACTTATTTCAATGGCCATGACTCAATGGCCATTTCAGGAACCGATTGATTGGAGGTACCTACCATATATATATATAAGGCCTATGTAAGACCTATGTAAGGGAATATACCCCCAAAATTCCCATTGATTATTTCTGGAAAACATAAACAAACTAATCTACAACTGGAATGGCGAATTCAAAGAAAAACTGCCCAGGACACCCAGGTCCTCGGAAAACACCTCCTCCTTGTTCTCTTCGCAATACTCTGCACCACTGTCCTGAATTCAAATAAAACAGCCTGGTCTCAAGCCGTACCCACCACCATCAAACCAGGTCTAAATGGATTAAATTGTCATTATGGATTAGATTTCCATTCAATCCCATGATTAAACCCCCACCAAATCCCATGAAGTATGACCATGCTTCACCCATTGCATTAAAAATCCCCGACATTCTCATCCAAAAAGTATGTCTTTCACACATGTTCCCCTCATTTTCATAGGAAAAATGATGATTTCCCATCATTTTCATAGGAAATTCATGGGATTTCTCGACATTCTCATGGGATTTCCACCATTTTTCCCCAGCAAATCCCATCAAACCCCGTTGCGTTTTTCGTAGCCGTAGCATCGTAGTGCAGCAACTCGGCCACCGCCAGCGCCGCTAGCTCGGCGGCGGGCGTTAGCAACGCCTTGGACGAAACCAGTGAAGGAAATTCATGGATTTTCCATATGAACCATATTAAATAATGGGATTGTTTGGGATTGTCCTTGTAAACCATCTAGCTATTGAGGTACCCACACTTTAGGAAACCTCTATATGGATATATGGTATATATATATATATTGGATATATGGTATATATATATTGAATTAAATAATGGATATATGGATATGGAAAAATATGGTGTGTATATATATATGGATTTATATTATAGTCTATATTAAATGGGATGAACATTCATTTACCAGCTATGACTTGGGGTTCACTAGGTGCCAGGGGCCCTTGACCAATAGCCATATAGTGGTATAATGGATATATCTGGGCAAATTATAATAATTCACTAATCTGAATTAAGGCCATTTGGGGATGATTCCCCTTACTAACCATGATTTCCAGTGAGGTCGCAGTGAGGTCGTTATAATTTAAATAATGGATATATGGATATTATAAATCCTATAGTTATTGGTTATATATCCCAAGTTATAAATCCGATATTATAATATGGTGTATATATATATGGATTTATATTATGGTCTATATTATGGTGGATATATAAACAGACCCACTAATCCCCATAGATATTGGTTATATATCCCATCAAATCCCCATAGAATTTTGTAAGTTTTGGGTGAATTACCATCTGGCTATTTAACATAGCCATGGAAAATCACCATGCTATTAATAGGTAAACCATCTATTTCTATGGGCCATTTTCCATGGCTATGTTAAATAACCAGAGGGTAACCAGTGGATATAGAAATCAACAGTATATCAACAGAAATAACAGTGGATAACCCTGGATATTTGGGATATTCATAAATTTCACCAATATAACCAGTAATATAAATCAACCATTCATGCGATATTACAGGAATATTCCAGTAAAGCAATAAACATAATTATATGGGATATTTGGGTTGATAAAATAACATGTGGGTTGTTAACATGGGGGTCAGATGGGTTGATAAAACGGTTATGGGTCAAAACCCTGGTACACTGGTACCAAAATAGCTGGTATAGCTAAATGGTATTCCCCCAACTATGGTAATGTTTTAAGCCATCCCCAAATAACATGTGGGTTGTTAACATGCAGGATTATAGGGTGAATAGGTGAATTTTTCACATCCCACAACATGGAAATCTCCAAACTAAACAGAGGTTTTGAGTTGGGAAAATCATCGAACTATATGCAGGATTTCTATTGGGATAAAGTGAGAAAATTAACGGGATGGTAATGGCTTCCAATGGATCTGTGCTGTGATTGATGTGATTTAATGGGATAACCATGGGATAGCAACGGGATAATAATAATGAGATATAATGGGATAGTAATGGTAGTAAACCGTTATTTATTAGTGGTTTCATTGGCTTTAACCAAGTAAAAATTGGGAACCAATGGAGGATTCGTGGAGAATTTCCTTCCGGTGTCATCAAACATGGCTGGCTGGGAAATTCCTGTGGATAAGAGAAGGAAATGGATAAATTTCATCTGGGTATGTCTGAGAATGGGGTATACCCCCAATGAAATAGCCATTTAAAAACGGGATAATGATCATTAACCATTGGGCCATTGGGTGTAGGGGTTTTCTCTATTTTCAGATAAATTTGATCTGAAAAAATTCACCCAAAACTTACAAAATTCTATGGGGATTTGATGGGATATATAACCAATAACTATGGGGATTAGTGGGTCTGTTTATTGAACAATGGAGAAGAATGTGAAAATGATGACTTTGATGCTTAATGGTGATAAAATGGGAATATAGTGGGATACATGGATACAACCATATTATGTGTATATATATACATATTATTGTGGAAATCAGCAACAAGACCAGTGGTCACAATGGGAATGTAATGGGATATAATTTGGATATGACATTATAGCCTATAAAATCTGATGTAGGTGTTATATAGCAGATGCTATCAACAAATATATGTTTAAACCTGCAAAAACATGAGGTATATCAGCAAGGGGATAAAATGGTGACATACTGGTGTACAAGTGTAAAATTCACTCATCCACTTACATGATGTTTTGGTCTGAGAATGGATTTTTGTACGCCAATTTATGGCCATCTTTTTTTGGGATGATTTACCAATGGATAGGTTTTTGGGGTACTCTACCTTTAGACCTTTAGACATACATCAATCGCAGGTTTTGACGGTTTTGACCTGCGATTTTTTGATCAAGATGGGGATGTTAGCAGCGACGGGACAGAACACGAAAGAACTTTTTGGGACTTCGCCGCCTGAATCCGTCTGGTGGAGAAAAAAGCACCAGAAATGGTGATCTGACCCATGAAATCAGTTTGGTAAAGTACCCTGCAAAATTCGGAATATGTTTAGCTGGCTTTTCAGGTTCCACCTCCATATACGGAGTCTGGAAATCACAACATGTTGCCGCCTGATACGAAACATGACCATCAGAAGGTTTACCTGAATTTTGATTGGCCCATACTTTGGGTTTGCCATAAATACTTAGATACTCTTCGAACAAGCTTCAGTTTCCAATGTAATCATATTAACTATCTTCACCCAAATCATGATATACAATTGTTAGACACCAACCAAATAACCCATCAAGACAAGATTTACCCAGAACATAGAAGTGGCCATCATTGTTTCACATAAACATGTTCCGGCTTTGCTGATTTTTCCACCACTCCCAGAACCGTCTCGGCATCAATCAATGGGTTGGTTTGGGGGAAATCCGCAACAAAGCAACTGGTTGGTGGTTGAGCCCTACCCCTCTGAAAAATATGAGTTTGTCACTTGGGATGATGACGTTCCCAAGTGTTTCTGGAAAGTCATAATCCATTCCATGGTTCCAGTCACCACCAACCAGGCATGGTTGGAAAAGGCCCAAATTGTTGGGATTTTCCTGTTTTCCTCCAGATGTTCACAACTCCACCCGTTCAGGGGGCAATGAAAGTTCTCCTCGATACAGGAAGAGTTCTGCAATGTGGCCGCCCCTCACTGAAAAAACTGGATTGTCATCTGGTTAACTTATATTAAATTCATTCCATTATCCATGGTTAACCATGAATTAATAATGGTTCAGTTAATAATGGTTCATCCAATTTTTCCATTATCCCTAAGTTGATTGTCAATCCCCATTATCCATTCATGGTTAATCCAGATTATTATCCATTGTTAACCATTGTTAACCATTATTATATAACCATTATGAATCATTATTAACCATTAATTAGATAACCATTAATAACCATATATAACCATTATTAATCATTCTTAACCATTAATTAGAAAACCATTAATAACCATATTTAACCATTATTAATCATTCTTAACCATTAATTAGATAACCATTAATAACCACTAATAAACATTAATAAATAACCATTAATATCTAATTCTTCACCAGTCTCACGACTTGGAGATCTCCCAGGTCACTCCGCAACTGGCGCTTCGCCACCGGGCAACTTGCAACAGCAAGGGGATGCCCGCCTGAGCAATGACCTGAGGTGCAACCGTCGAAGTTGAGGTGATTTTGGACTAGATGGAAGATATATCTAGATGTATATATATATATATAGAAATGTATGGGTCAATATCTTATAGATATATTCATTATGAAGCTACAGTGTCCTACAGTGTCTTAATATATATATGTATGTATGTATATATTTTTTGGCAACCTTGATATTCTTTATCAACGCCAGCTTTATTTTATGTTGTCAATCCTGGTCAAATCCCCAATTCCGACGGCAAACATCCAACGGCTCATTGGATTAAGCAAAATGTGAAACAGGAAATACCAGTGGTGTGTGAGTTTAACGGGTTTAATATGGCTTGAGCATCCATTCATATGGCTTCATAATCAATATGGTTCAATCATCCATCAATTGGGATTTAGGGAAAATTGGATGAAGGAAAAACATGGGGTTTTACCCTGTCTAAATGGATGTTTCCAGCTAGGAAAATTGACGAACTATTGCTGGGAGATGTTCAAGCAAGCCACGTGTGATTGCTGGAGGGTAATAGGGATAGTCTATAGAATAATGTCAATAGATATATGATTGATGATTCCATATCATATATATAAACATATATGTATGTACATGTATATATGTGTATATATATATTCTTATAACATATACATATACATATATATATTCTTATAACATATACATATATATATATTCTTATAACATATACATATATATATATTCTTATAACATATACATATATATATATATTCTTATAACATATACATATATATATATATATATTCTTATAACATATACATATATATATTCTTATAACATATACATATATATATATATATATTCTTATAACATATACATATATATATATTCTTATAACATATACATATATATATATATTCTTATAACATATACATATATATATATACAGTATATAGAGTCATCATCCTCTGACAGGATGACAAGCACCGGCCTCTTGGGCGAAGATTTCGTTTTGGTGGATGCTTTGCCTCGCAAGGGCGGCAGCGCGGCTGGAAATTCTGGCGAATTGATCCCAAAAAATGCCATGATTTTTTTTGTGTATCCCAAAAAAATATCTGAACTATGCATTCTATGGATATGATGAATCCCAATGATATCCCATGTTTTTTTTGTGTATTATGTATAGTGGATATCATCTATATCATTGGATATCCCATGATATCCCCTGATATCAAGTATATTGTGTATTGCGTATTATAAATGTGGTGCCTCTTACATTTATATTTTTGTTCTATAACCATCCAACTAGTTGGATAGTGATCTATCTCAACAAAGGCTACCGCATCATAGAATCTATCCGTAGATCTATCCGTAAACCTTGGTGAAGGGTAGGTACAACTGGTGCTTCTTTCTTGACTCTCCTGGTGTTTTGTGTATATTATATATATATATATATGTATGTATACTTGTATATTATATATAATATGTGTGTATATTATATGTATATATATATATATATATTCATATATACATATTATATCAGCTAAACAGTATATTATGGTTGGCAGTGTGGTAAACACATTGACACAAACATTACACAAACCCCCTTGATTAGGGATGGTTTTGGGATTCCCGAACTAACATTTCAAAATTCTGTATTGAAAGTGCTATAAGTTTAGATCTCCCGTCTTTGTGGACAAACCCAAACCCCCAAATTTTTCGCCAAGCTGAAAACTGTCAATCATCCCCCAAATCTATCGAGAACAGGCTGAAAAACCCATGCGAATCTTGGTCCTGCAGTTGCACTGAATTGTCAGCATTTTTCGGATCAAAAATTGCACTCCGATGTCAATCCACGTTTTCAGACAAACCCATGAATTCATGAATTGTTGGTGAAATAAGTATATGTTCCATCCTCAAATCAATTCAAATCCATATCAACAGCATATCAAAGCATATTAATGAATGATTAAACCGTATGAAACCCATGCATGTGGCAAACACAATGCCATAAATCATCCCATTTTTTATGGCATGTCTATCATCTCCAGATGGTAGGTTTATGGCTGCTCTCTCACATTAAAATCATTAAACCATATCAAAAGCATATTTACCATCTGGTTATTTAACATAGCCATGGAAAATCCCTTATAAATGGAGGTTTATAGCTGCGAAAATCATCTATAAATGGGCCATTTTCCATGGCTATGTTAAATAACCAGAGGGTAACAACAACAAACCCACATTAAACCGTATGAATGGATGAATACCCTCTGGTCAACTGAAACAACTGTGGAAAAATCACTATCTTTAAGTTCGGTAAATCAACTATAAATGGACCATTCTCAATAGCTATGTCAGCTATGTAACAAATTACCAGAGGGTAACCAATCCTAAAACCCACTACCCTCTGGTAAATTAACATAGCTATGGAAAATCACTATTGTTTATGGGAAAATCCACTATAAATGGTCATTTTCAATAGCTATTTTGACATAACCAGAGGGTGGAGCCCCCACATTTTCCACAGCGCCGAGACGCAGCAGCACCTTCACCGCCGTCGCCACGCCCTCGCTGGAGCTAGTGGCCCCGCGACTCATCGCGTCGTCGAGGTCTTGCAGCTGACGCTCCGCCAGCTGCAGACCGTCCAAAAGGTGAAACGGAGATCTCCTCAAAACGAAACTGGTGAGGAAAATGGAAGGTTCAGCAGCTGGATACTTGGTGGCTCATCCCACTTAGTAAGTGGGTTATAACCCCAGTGATTGATGTGGATTAATCCTACTTATCCCATTTATAACTGGGGTTATAACCCACTTACTAAGTGGGATGAGCCACCAAGTATCAATTGTTGATATAACTCCTGATTAAGACTGGATATCAACTGTTGATTGTCCAAATGGACTGTTTTTTGTCGTTTCATTCAATGGATTGGTTTTCTTGGGAAAATTGAAACCGAAAACCCCTATGTTTCATGGGGAAAAGCCATGGTTCTTAAGATTTTCCCTTCAACCAATCCAGTGATAAACCTGGCATGGGCGGACGCTACGGCGCCGTTGAAAATGGAGCTTCCTTTCGGAAGGGATGTTCCAAAGTCCCCAGGTGATGTCAGCAACCCGGTCTGGGTCGTGGCTGGAAATACAATTGGGTAAGTACAAGGTGGTGCCCCCCAGTTATAAGATGGTTTCTAAACCATAGGAATAGTATAGATATATCTACCATAAACCCGAGTTATTGGAGTTATAAACCAACTTAGCTAACGAACTGGGGCACCACCTTGTACAATGGGCTACAATTTCATGATGCTGGGAAAACCAACGATGTTTGCAATGTTTGGTTTCTACATCGGAATATGAAATTGGGTATGTACCATTTAATGGGACTAGAATGGAAACATTCATGGGATAAATCGCCAGCAATATTTCTTCGGGGTGCAGGACTGGGGTGCAAAAAAACTGGTATAGTACGGTAACAACCCCATAAGCTGGGATAACCGGTTTCAACCCCTCTGAAAAACATTAGTCTGCTGGGATGATTATTCCCAATACATGGACAAATAAACAAAATGTTCCAAACCACCAACCAGTATAATATATATATATATCCACATTGTGAGAAAGCATGCTCTTTGCAACATATGAACGGAGTGTCTTCAGCAAATGATCAAATGTTGGCTAGCAAAGTATGATGAAGTGTCCCACGGAAAAATGGATTTTTTTTTGGTGCCCAATGCCCACCCAACCATTTCCATTCACCAACCATTTGGAAGTCATTTTACATTCACCCAACTAGGGCTATACCCAATAATAAGCCTCGGAGATGGTGAATATTCTGAGGTTTATCACATGTTGTTCCTCGATAGAAATTTTCTTGGATGTAAAAGCCACATCTTTGAGATATGTGGGTATCTCATCAATGGGAGATCTCCAGGATCCTAAAATGATTGGAGGTATGTAAACGTACCATATTTCTGACCATATGAATTGTGGGTATATCCCCTGAAATTTAGCTCTTACATAGGCCAAAAATATATGGAATCGGTACCTCCAATTGTTCTCGGTTCCTGAGTCATGGCCATTGATCTTTGTTATATTAGTATATCAATATCTATCAATAGATATATGGCTATGGATCAATACCTATTAATACCATTTTTAGGGGGATGAACATCCGTTTACCAGCTATTTTGATGTTCACCAGGGGTACAAGGTTTTGACCCATCCCCATATGATGACATACGGCTATGGGATAAAACCCTGGCGCTGGTAGTATGGTGGCTGGTAGTGGCTATGCATTCATCTTCCGTCAAAAACGACCCGACAAATGGTGGCCTCCTAAGTCATAGGGCTACCCCCAGTCATCCAGCTATTCCAGGGATTTCGCCATGGAAATGTTTGCCATCCAGCCAGCTAGCTTGGGGTAACCCCCATGACTTACTGGTTGGTGGTATACCTACCCCTCTGAAAAAAAAATTACCAACCAGATAAAGACAAAAAATAGGTTGATATGGATCCCCCAAGAAATCTGATTGGCTTATTTCAAACCACCAACCAGCTTAGGAAAGCTCAAAAAATAAAAATACCGACCTTGGGAGGATCTCCAGGTCCGAGAGGTGGCCCAAGACCACGTCCACAGTACTGGAGCCAAACGGGCATTCCATCACCAGCACCTGCGACGAAAAACGCGGCCGACTCTGTCAGAAATCTTCGTCAAAATGCTGGTGATTCATGGGGTTTACCCTCTGGTAAACCTACAAAAAACTATGGAAAATAACCATGCTATTAATGGGAAAATTCACTATATATGTCTATGGCCATGTTCAATAGCTATGTAACAAATTACCAGAGGGTATACTGTTCATGGTGATTTTTGTATGTTGGTTTCATGTTTTTTTTTATGGGATTTAGTTAGCTAAGTTGGTGAACATACTTCCAATGGTCGCATGGGGAAAATATGGTATATCGGACTAGCGACACCTGCAGGGGACCACCAAACCAATTTCAGTGCCCTTATTTCTGGCTAGGGTTTATGAAAATGAACTGGTTGGTGGTATACCTACCCCTCTGAAAAATATGAATTTGTCAGTCCCAATATATGGGAAAATAAAAATGTTCCAAACCACCAACCAGATATATCTTGTGGCAACACAATGGGGATGTAATCGGGATATAATGAGGATAGAAGGACAAGTAAGTGGAGTTAAGTGGGGTGTTTGATGGGGTTCAATTGGATATGAACCAATGAAAATTGGATACAAATGGATGAACAGACTATAAATCTGGGGATCCACAAAGAATGGCACAAAATGAGCTGGGAAAATGAAAACATAAATCACTCACCTGAAACTTGCGGCGATCTTGGGGATGCCCCGAATCCTAACCATGATTAGAACAGTGAGGGAGAACAGGGCTCGGTCGTTATAATTTACCCATATATATGGATATTATAAATCCTATAGCTATTGGTTATATATCCCACCTGAGGCAAATTGATGGGCTACTCCCAGTCTCCCAGTTGATCGAATTCTGGTCGCATCAGGCGGCCGTAGCGATGCTCCCGAGGCCTTCAAATTTTCATCTTCGTCGTAATCGATACCTGCTACGCCAAGCATCTGTGACCATGGAGAAACATGTTCACTCAAACTATTATTAAAAAAAAAACATAGGTTGCTGGATCCCATTCTAATCTGATTGGCTTATTTCAAATAGATTCAAATAGGTTTCCCTACCCAGTGTTAACCTGGATGCACATCCAAGTTGGGGCAATTCCAAAGATTCCACACCCCCAGAGGATCAGGAGAAACAGATCTCTTCATGTCTAAATGAAAAACAAGAACAAACATAGACTCACATACAATGAACCATAATAAACAAAAACTGGTTGGTGGTATACCATGGTATACCTACCCCTCTGAAAAATATGAGTTCGTCAATGGGAAGGATCACATCCCATATATGAAATGGAAAATAAAAAATGTTCCAAACCACCAACCAGATAATAAACATATAAACACATTCAAAAGAAACAGGAGACCTCCCACGCCTATGTTACATTTTCTTCTATTAGGGGTATGTTATATCTGCTTGGGAGCACGGCTGTCCCCCTGCCGGCTTCCCCCTCAAGAAATGTGATATGCAGGTGGGGGGTACACGTTCCCCGGGTCCTTTGTAGCTTTTTCGGGGCTAGGGATATGCACCCTGGGTTTATATCTGTGTACAAATCCCCCTACATCCACCGTGGTTTCTGGGGCTTAATACTGACCTGGTTAAACCATATAAACCATGATTTAGGGGATTCCTATATTAATATAGGTTAATTCCTTCACCTGATTTAATTTTTTTAGGGGAAGGAATTACTGACCCAACAAACTGCAGCTGATGTTGACCCAGGTAGATGATATGTCCCCACACTGGATCAAGGGGATCCAAACCGCTGTTACCACATTTAAGTTACCACCAATTGCCAATCCGAGATACCGTGCCCAGCACAGAATTGGCCTTTTCTTTAGCTGGTGGTGAGGAATTTTGGCATTCGAATGCATTCTGAATTACTTTTTGTTGTGCCAATTTTTTCGGCATCAACCTTCCCTGCAAAAGATGAAACAAAAAAGCTACAAGTTGCTACTCATCCGGTTTCCCCAGACCTTTTTTGCTGCCAGCTCTGCCAGGCTGCCGTGCGTTTCACAGAGATTGGCAACTTGCTCTTGCAACCTCCGGACGTGGGCGTGAAAAAATCGACCATCTGGGGCCCTCGTGGCCACGAAATCACTAAGTTGGTGGAAATAACTCCAACAACTCTGGCTTATGATACGTATGACTAGAGTTAATGGGGTTTATAACTTAAAAATTGAATCACCATGAAATCCATTAATGTGGGTAAAACAATGCCATAAACCAGCCCCCAAACCAGCAGTTTTATAGGTGGTATGGGTACCATTCCCAAATTTCAAATGGCTTATGACATTGTTTTACCCGCATTACAAGAGTGAGAACCTTCGTAAGTGGGAGATGCCCGCAGCTGGAACTGAATCCCAAAGTACCCTGGGGATGAAAATGGTCGAACTGCTGACTCCCAAAATTAAGAAAGACAGGTAGAATTGGGAAGGGTGCTATGAAAACATAGCTATACTAGCTATCAACCAACATCCTGGTTCTTATCCTCATTAGTAAAGGTTTGATACCTGCAGGTGTGTTGCTTCAAAGTCAAATCCCAATGCTTTGGTGTTGGAAAATTACCATGCAAGTAACCCGACATCAGATTAAACCATCACCGCCACCACCACAAGCACCACCACCGCCGCCACCAGCATCATCAGCATCATCATCATCATCGTCGTCGTCGTCGTCGTCATCACCATCACCATCATCATCATCATCATCAGCATCATCATCATCATCATCATCATCATCATCACTTTTCCAATACTCAAGCCAGAATATCACAATCCACATCAAAGTAATTCAATCAAGATGATCAAGATGCAACAACCATCTGTCATCAGGGCGTGGTTACTCCACCAGCCCAAAGGGTTGCCATCATTAACCCAAATCATGGGAGATTTGATCCTGTTCAAAGTCAGAATTTCATCCACCAAACCATAGATATTCCATTCAATCCGGCATGTATGTTTGAAACCACTACATAGAACCCGAGTTTTTTTCCAGCAGCAAATTCATGTAAAGCCCCATTGACAATCAATATTCAACCACTAAATCATTTTAGTAATTTTCCATCAATCTCCTATTATGATTAACCAAGTCATTTAAATGACAAATTAAATCCGTATTAACCATGACTATCAAACCATGTTGCATCCGGTGGAAATCTTTTGATGATCCCCTTTGATCCGAGCAAATCCAGCCATGAAATTGGGGATTTTCCAAGGAACGGGCCATGGTCCAAGGAAAACTCCACCTCTCTGCCCTCTGGCAGCAGCACTCGCGCCACAAAAGGGCGGCCAGCAGTTGCTTTGCCCATGGCGCACCACGAAGTTTTACTTCGATTTCACGAAGTTCGGCATCTTTTTGGGGATTACTGTAGCTTGAAACATGTAAAAAAAAAGAGACTGTTTCTGGTCGAAGTTCTTAGGTTGAAAATGGTTGCAGTAGCTGTCTTTTGACTGGTTCTTGCAATCACCATCCGAAGTTCATCCAGTTGAATTACCATAAAATCCCATTAAATCCAGTTGAATCACCATCAAACAACCATTAATCCCATGAAAAAAACCATTGAATTCTCATGGTCAATGGTCGATTGGGATTTCACCGTTTCACTTCAAGATGTAGCTGCTCCATGTCCGACTTAAATGGCTATTAGCGTAATATAGATTGCTCCACAAAGGGGGCTGGTTCTTTTTTGTATTCAACCATCCATTTCATACAATGTGGGGCCCCCAAGATAGCGTTCAGTTTGTTTATAACTCCAATAACTATAGTTTATGGTACAGAAATAACTATAGTATTCATGGGGTTTATAAACCAACTTAGCTAACTATGGGGCACCACCTTGTAGTTTTTCCTTTAAATAGTCTTGGACCCCGCAATTGCAGATATATTCTGCCAACCTGTCTCTGATTGTCGTTGTCTCCTCTCTGCGTCTGTGTTTATTCAGAGCCAAAGCAGAACCTCTGCAGAACTTTCGTTCCTTTGTTGGATTGAGGTGCGGCCTTTGGTTCAGCCTACTTCATCCACTGAAAACTCTTGGGATGCCATGAATTCAGGCCTCAAACATGTAGCACAGGTATGCGGCCAGGTTATATATGGCTTCAATGGGAGTTTTTTAAAAAAAATGGTTATCATTGGCCTTTCAAAGTCGCATTCACTTCACTTGATGTCAATGGGAGATCTTCAGGATCCTAAAATGGAGGTACGTTAGTACCATATTTCTGGCCATAAATTGGGGGGATATCCCCTGCAATTTAGCCCTTATATAGGCCTTATATATAGTAGGTACCTCCAATTTAGGATCCTGAAATTCCTATTGATGATGTTGGGATTCCATTCTGACTCAAAGAGTCCACACATCAGAGAGACTCTGATCGTCTGATCGAATTTGATGAAAACAGGCATCAAACTGTCAGAGTCACCCCTTGACCAATGATATGTTGTTTTACGATGTTTTACATATGACATAACTATGGTATACTGTTGTACCACCATTGTTTATAGGTTCATCATGGTTCATCTATTGATGGGCCATTTTCCCTAGCAAAACCCCCTATGATTTCCCAGCGGATAGCGGATATCCTCATAAACTATCCATGACTGGGAATGGCAACCATACCTCAAAATCATGAAATTGGGGATGGTGCAAATGGCATTGGGAATTACCAACATCATGGGAAATTGATCTAAGTGAATCCTCTACCAAAAAAAAACTGGTATGGAAAAGAAAATGATCTGTGGCTCTTGCTGCAGAACCATATGGGATTGTCCAAAGGAGCTTTGCAAACAAGTCGCCCACGGCCGTTCATCATGTTCCCCATGAAAAAATTGCGGTCTCTCATTTCTAGACAAACCCAAATCAGTGTTAGATCTATATATTGTTCTATGTCATTCTAACCCATTTTACCCTCTGGTAAACTAACATAACTATGGGAAATCACCATTTTCAATGGATAAATCAACCAAAAAAACCACCATCTTCAATAGCTATTTTGACAAAACCAGAGGGTACCTTGCAGCTTTTTAGTTGCCTGCAGATTTCTATCTTACAAATATATGGCTGGTAAATCACCCCGAGGTCTGATGAAAACCATGTTTTCCGGTTTCCCATCGGTTTCCCGGTTTCAACCCCGTCCCTGAGGTTTCTGTGGCCTTTTTCACAGCCTGTGAACGGTGCAGCTCATTCAATGGTGTACCCTCTGGTGAACATACAAAAAACTATGGAAAGATCCACCATTTTTCATGGGTAATTCCACTATTTCTATCACCATTTTCAATAGCTTTTTGTATGTTTACCAGAGGGTAATGGCTGCAAAATGGCTCGCAATCTGAGGTTTTTTTTGTTGGATAGTTCTCGATCATTTGAGATGATTTTTTCTGAGTTCCAACCAAATGGTGGTACCATTTTCGTCATCACCATGGGTTTCAATACTCAGTCATGGTCATCCATGACGACCGAATGATGCAAGGGGTACCCCTATGACTTGGAAAGCCAAAAGGATACGAGTAAGTCTCCGATTCGTGGGCTATCCCATTTATGAATGGCTTTTAACATATTATAACAACACTTATATGTATGGAGATATCATATAACCCATTATAACAACACTTAAAACATATTATAACAATACTTATACTAACAATACTAGTTTATAAGTGGAGTGATCTTCCAAGTATATGGGAATATCTTGGGATTCGGAGTATATCTATGGAGAGAGAGGGAATTCAACAAACATAGGGGTTTGAGGCCAATAATATTTAATAAGGATAGAACAGCATATAATGTCATAAAATGGCCTACCCCTCTGAAAATATGACAGTCAAATGGGATTATTGTTCCCCAATATATGGAAAAATAAATTAAAAAAAATTACGTTCCAAACCACCAAGCAGTATTTGTATGGTCAAAATTATCAACCGGCAGAATGGGTGGTTTTTCATGGCTGAGGTTCAGAAATCCGCCAAATTAGGTGGATTCATCGGCAGTCCAATTTTGACCTATACCCGTCTGGCTTGTTTCGGAGTGATCCTGGCGTTGCATCAGGAGACAGTAGCAACCAATGGGTCTCTCTCTCTATCTCTCTCTCTGAATGTATGTATATATATATATATTATATATATATATATGTTCACCAACAAGCATGAGGATATCACCATATCACCCATCAAAAATGATGAACATCTCTTGCCAGTAGATTCCGCTGTCCAACTTAGCAAAGCTGGGTCTGGCAGTTTTTGGCAATATAGCCATCTACATCCATTGTGGTAACCCAAAAAAAGATAGAATAGATGGAATACATTTAGTAGTGGGATACCACATTTTTAGTGATATACTAATCTATATATTCTATATATCCATCTATCCCATATACATTCATAGTGGCATTTCCAGGATGGTATAGATTATGATCGGTCAACAGCGGACGATTAAATCATCATCACAGGTAGGGATAGAGTGATAGAACATGATAGAACATTGCAAACGAACTAGATAACCCCAATCAACCCTCTAATACTTCCCCGAGGGAGTCATAGGCTACCGCAAGATTTTGGCATGGCGCTATCACATGCTATCATTTTGGCACTTCGCAGACCTGGGTATAGTGCAAAGCACAGAGGGGGAGGCAGCGGTCACCCTTGTAAGGCCAACCAGCGGAATCAACAAATGGCCGAAACTTTCAGGAAATTCACTGCCAGACGCCCTTGCGAAGCATGCAGGTCCCGCAGAGGGACAATTCGGACCATCGACACCGGACTCAAATTGACACAGTCTTAGCTCTGTCAAAACAACATGTGAATTACGATGATCCCAAGCCGCAGAGGTGGGAAGCATCTACCATTCTGCCGTCCTGCCGGTGTTTTGCCAGCATTTTGATAGGCCGCCTGCAGCATTTCCCACCGATTTAGATCTGTAAGATACTTTGGGTGGATAGTTTCACCAAACTATGAAGTGAATCAGCCAGACTCGGCTTTCATCTGGGCTTCACTGGTAGGCCAGGATCAGAAAAATTGTTTGGCTTGGCTCCAAATTCAGAAATTCTCTGATTGGTGGCTTCAAGCCCTCAAGCATTGGTGGGAATCATCCCATGGAAGAATTACATTCAAAAAGTCCATCTAAACAAGTTCTGGTTTTCAAACCTCAAGCCGTAAAAGGAGCCTCACTGCAGGAGCCGTGGCATTGCATCCATTATATCCACCAGCTCAAGGGTTTGCTCCATCTGCGGAGAAATCACAGCAGCGCGGGCGCGTAACTGGTCGAGCCTTCGAGCTTGCTCCTTGCTGCTGCGCTTCAGCAAGCGGTCAGCCAAGCCACCGTTGTGTTCACTTCGTGACTGCGGAGTGGTATTTTTTTCAAAGAGAATGTCCAAGTCC